AAGGTGCCCATCCTGGGGGTCCCTGTGCCCCCCCAGTGGTGAAGGTGCCCATCCTGGGGGTCCCTGTGCCCCCCCAGTGGTGAAGGTGCCCATCCTGGGGGTCCCTGTGCCCCCCCAGTGGTGACGGTGCCCATCCTGGGGGTCCCTGTGCCCCCCCAGTGGTGACGGTGCCCCCTGACCCCCGTTCTGTGCCCCCCCAGTGGTGAAGGTGCCCATCCTGGCCCGGCTCGAGGCCCTGCGGGACGAGGAGCTGGACGAGCGGCGGGAGAAGCGCCGGCGCCAGGCGGCCGAGGACGAGGCCAAGGGGGCCGAGAGGGGCCCCGAGGACAAGGAGGGGCCCGACGCCCAGGTGAGGGACCCCCAAACGCCCCCAAATTCCCCCAGAATCCCGGGGGGGGGGTTCCTTTTCACCCCCCGCCGCCATCACCGTCCCCTCTCCCGCAGGACGCGGCGTCCAAGGCCGGCACCCCCTCGGCCGACGTCACCCCCCCAGGTAAACCCCCCTCCCTGCCTCCCCCTCCCCCGGGGGTCTCCCCCAGGCCCCGCCGTGCCCGGACGCCCCCAAAGCCCCTCCAAAGCCCCCCCATGCCCCCCTGGAGCTGGCACCCCGCGGGCTGAGGTAGTAGATTGTATAGTTGGAGGGTCACACCCCCGTCTGGAGATAACTATACATTCTACTGTCTTCCTCGCGGGGCGCGCGCCGCCGCAGCCGGGGGGCCCGGGGGGTCCCGGGGGGCCCCGGGGGGGTCCCGGGGGGCTGCAGCACCGGGGGGAGGGGCGGCAGCGGCCCCCCCCCCTCTCAGAACACCGGGGGGCTGGTTAGAGATGGATTGAGGGGGGTGGGCTTAGGGTGGGGGGAACGTGTGTGGTGGGATAAAATGGGGAAGGGGGGTTTTGGGGAGGGTCGAGGGGATTTGGAGGGGGGTTTGGGGCTTTTTAGGGGGTTTTGGGGTGGTCGAGGGGGTTATGGGGAATTGGGTTTTTGGGAGGGGGTTGGGGTGGTTGAGGGGGTTTAGGTGGGTTGGGTTTTTTTGGGGGAGTTTTAAGGGGCTTCTTGGGGAGTTTAAGAGATCCGGGGGGGGTTTAGGGCATTTGGGTGGTGTGGTGTGGCTCAGAGGGGAACTAATTATGGGGGGTGGCAGGGACCCCCCCAAACTCCATGGGGCTCCCCCCTCGTCTTAGGGTGCAGCCAAATGCCTGGCATTCCCCCAAAATGGGCAAAGGGGTGGGTTTGGGGGGCCTCCCACATTCCTGGCCCCGCCCCCAAAGTTGATCCCTGCGTGTATCCCCCCCATCCCCTCACCCCAGAACACAGCGGGACGGCGGGAGAGACCCCCCCTCCCGGTCCCCACCGGACCCTGGTGATGCTGGAACCGACGCCGACCCCCCCAGACCCCCCCCCGGGAGCCCCCCAAATTCCCGCTCGCCCCCCACAACCCCCCGAGCACGAGGAGGGGGGGCCAGGACGACCCCCCCAAGATGCCGAGGCCACTCAGATGGAGCTGTCGCCCGCCCCCACCATCAGTAAGTCCTTGGGATTTTGGGGGGGATCCTGTTGTTTTTAGGGGGTTTCTCAGTCCAGAGAGGTCTCCCCGGGTCTGGGGGTGTCTCCCTGAACCCGGGGGGGCTCCATGTCCGTCTGTCCCCCCCTCCCAGCGTCGCTGTCCCCGGAGCGGGCCGAGGACTCGGACGCGCTGACGGCCGTGAGCAGCCAACTGGAGGGGTCCCCCATGGACACCTCGAGCTTGGCCTCCTGCACCTTGGAAGAGTCAGGGGGGG